CCAAAGAAAACTGGGAGCAGAAGGCTCGAAGCACTCAACGCCCATACAATTCTGCAGTGGTCATTTCCAGCTCCAAAGCTTCAGAGACAAAGGCACCTCACCCGGCCCTCCGCCAAACTTGGGAAGGCTTTGGGACTACTGCGTGGAGTCCAACCTCACCGACGAGTTTTCGAGCCAGCAAAAGCAGGCGGATGGTAGCCCAAAAGACCTGAAGCATCCTGAAGCTTTTGAAGTTCCTTGTTTAATGACTTTCCATTGTGTCCCTTTTCAAAGTGTGGCCTAGCAGGTGGCTTTTGGGTAGCAGGTACTTCGGTTTGGGATTCTAGGTTTAAGGGTGTTGGTCTGTGGAGTTTAAGTTTCAGGGTCTGGTGCTAGGTGCTTGCGGATTCAGCTCAGGCGTTCGCGGTTTGAACTCGCCGTCAGTCCTTCAGCGCATCACTATAGTATATTATGGTATATCACGGCATATTATAGTGTTTGCAGTATTCCAGAGTTTTCGACCCCTAAGCTTTAGATCCCTTTATTAAGTCCTGCCCCTATGGCCTTGGAGATCGACGGCCGGATAAAACCCTGAACCCTGCGCACAGGGGCCTATAGAAAGCCCCAGGCCCTAGAAAATCCCTGAAGCCCAGGGAGGCCCCACATCCGTCCTCCATGCAAATCCCTAAACCGTAGTCCCCAAAAATTCCCCCCTTACAGTCCTTAGATACTTATACGGTCTACTATACCCCAAAACCCTAGTGTAGCTATTACGTCTCCTATACTGGAGCCTTTCAAGAAATCTATTCTTTGGCCTCTGTGTATACTCATGGCCCGAAGATATGAGAGTATCGGGGGGCAGTGCTGCGAGGCGCGAGAGGGCCCCTGAAGCTTGAAGAAATTCGGGTCCTCTACTGTCGAGGTTGGGAACGGAAAAGCCACGGATTCGTGCTGTGCGAGAACAGCTTATTCCTTTTTTCAATAAGGAACCCAGTAACCCTTCTATCGAACCCGGCGCCCTTTTCTACTTATTCAGGCCCCTCACTCTAGTAGGAACCCCAATATGATTTAAGGTATATTCCTTAATTAAGGGGCTTGGAGTCTCTGTACATTAGGCCCCTTTGAGCCCCAGGGCTGGTACGCGTTTGCCATCAACGTCGACGGCACCGGAAGCGGAGACCGAACGTACTGGCAGATCTTCGCTGGCTGTGTTGCTCGGATGAAGCTGGCGTAGGTTTAGTTTGTGTTTGGGGGGGGGGGGGCCCTAAACCCTAAAACGATATATAGTGCTTCATCATACCTTTATAGGACCCCTGAAAGAACCAGGTCAAAAAGGAAAAGCAAACACCTCAAGCATTGAAGCCTAGGCCCCTGCCGGGATACTACCTCGAACAGCGGATGTTCGGGTGCTTGCCTGTGCCTCTATACCCAAACAGGTAGCTCTTTGGGATATGGTTTTGTTTCCGAAATAGTTGAACACCATTTTATTGAGGCTTGTTTAAGAGGAGCCTAGTCCTAGCCTATAAAACGCCCAGGGAATCTTCACAGAACCCTGACTAAAGAAAAACCGGTAAAGTACCTTCACAAAAAATCTCGAGCTGTGATGATACCTTCACAGCTCCTGTAAACTTAAGCTACCATATTACCAAGCACCGGCTAGTCTAATCGTAGCACGGCCCCTTGTCAGCCAAACTATGAGGTGACCGACGTCCCCGTAAACCCTAAACGCCCTCAAATCGAGAAGCACCCTCAACCCTAGTCGAACTAGAAACCGGCCCCAGGTGGTCCTGGTGCAGGACAGCCCCTGGGTGTCTTGGCTCGTTGGGGAAATCGGCGGGCCTGCCGCACTGGTGCCCGGCGAGCACTACATCCCCATCCGCCACCGGGCTTTGATAGACTGAGGGCTTTGAGGCGTTTAGGGTTTGGGTTTGTGGTTTGGGATTCAAGGCGCTTGGGGGGATTTGAACATGGGTTTTGATGCATGCCTTGAGAGTCCCTGTAAAATTTCAGACCCAATGCTTCGGGGAGAGGTAGTAGGATGAGCATATTCTGAGCTGAGCATCAACACGACGGTTTGAAAGATCCCTACTTGTCTCATTTTTGGGCTTGGCTTGATTTTACAGTTCTAAAGGTAAAAGACGGTTGCTAAGATTGAGGGCCTCTTTGAAAGCGAGGCTATGACCTCATGGACCTGGTGAGCAAGCTGAACCTTCTGCACCTCGGATGCGGTTTGAAAGCTGCTTTCGGAATCACACGGCGCAGACTATAGGGCTCTGTCTTGAGCAGTTTTTTTTGTTTTTTGAGGTTTAGGGTTTAGGATTTGGGAATTGTTCTGTCGAGCGGTTGAACTTCATGGTCGAGAAACCCTATCTAAACCCTAAATCCTAAACCCTAAATCCTAAACCCTAAATCCTAAACCCCAAATCCTAAATCCTAAACCCTAAATCCTGAACCTTGGTGATTCGTTTTGGGCCCGGCTCCGTCGGCTCTTCACATAACCGTGCCTTGTATCTCTAACACCGGAAAGTCCAGGGCCCTGGATCTTACAACCTTTAAAGCCATTACGAGGGGTTCAGGGCTTTAGAGTTTACGGGCTTACAGCGGCTTTAAATGCAGTTTTGAGTGCGTTTAATGACAAATGCCCTCATCCCCAAACTCCGCTTCGCCGAACGGCAAACAGCGCTTAGACCCGCTGACCTCGAAGCAGCCCTTGCTGCAAGGCACGAGCAGGAAGAGGAGGACAGGGGCCTTTTCCCACGTCTGCAGGTTTCAGGATCCCAGTGCTTCGGGTTTTGCAGTTGATAGAATCCCCGTATTCTGTGAGCAGTTCCCTATGCAGAGCTAAGTCTAGCGGCTTCCAAACTGTTGTTCAGACGCCACAGCTTCTTGCCCAAGTTCTTGCTGCGCTTGTGTGTTGTCCGCGCAGTGAAGGCGGTGCTATGAGTCAGTGGGTATGAGGTATGAGTACTCTCAGCGACGCTGTTGATGCAATGGTAATTCTCACGAACTTCATGCGAGTTTTGCTTCTGCTGCTCCTACTCCCACTGGCACTCGTGCTCATACCCTTACTCCTCCTACTACTGCCACCCCCACTCATCCCCTCCCCCTCCTCCTCCTCCTCCTCCTCCTCCCCATGCTTCTACTCTTTCTCCGACTCTCAGTACTACGACGACAAGGAAAAATCACTGTTGGTGGTTTACATGTGCTATGACGGTGATTGTCATGTCTGAGCAGTCAGAGTTTCCTCTGTGATCGCTCATTCCAAGCCCCAAGGTTTTCCAGCAAGTGAAGATACCCCCGCAATACAACATTAGGGGGCACCAGTGAAAGCAAGCAAATGTAGATCCAGGGTTACGCTGTTCGTCCCAAATGCTTCCAATCGTCATCGTGGTCTGGCCCAGCGTTGTTCGACTCCCAGACGTAGAAGGCCCTTAATCGTTCCTCAGTCCTGGTGACGGTCTGGCCTTTTCCAAGCCCGCGCAAAGCCGGATCAACCCTGATCAAACCCTTTGACCCCTAAGCCCTAAACCCTTAAAACCTAAACCCTAAACCCAAACCATTTGACGCCACACCCGCGCGCTTCCAAGTGCCAGGCCAAGCAACTGGCCGAACGAAGCGAGCGGTGGGCCAGGAAATACCTGAGCTACGACTGGGCCACCTGTCCAAGGGTTTAGGGCACCCCCTGTTTTAGGGTGTAGGGTTTAGGGTTTGGGATTTTTTTTTAGGGTTTGGGGTTTAGGGTTTAGGGCATGACTGAGAGGGATTTGCACGGCTGGTTGGGGGCCCAAAGGGGTACAGCTCGGGCCCCTGAGCCCCGTTTAGCAGTTTAGGCACGAGGTTTCCCAAAAGCTGTTTTTTGGGGAGTTTGGGGTTGGGGTGGAGGCTAGTTTTGTAGGGATTCAGCAGCCGGGTCGTTCTCTTCATCGGAAAGCAAGCCTGGGGCTGTTTTTGTGACACCAAAGGTGCTCTTTTACCTCGACCGCGCTGTACGGAGGTGCCTTAGATCTTGTTTGCATGCAGGGTTTCGGCTTCGGGTCTCGTTGGAGGATTGGTATCCAACAATCGGCCCTTCTGCAACTTTTGATGGAAAAAAATGCAGCCCGCCGGTAAGTCGAACCTGTTCAGTGGCTGGCTAGGGGATGCCCCGCAGAAGCGGCCGTGATTTCGGGCGCTGTGGGTGGAGTTTGGGGGATCGTACCTAACGGGCCCGAGCACAATTTAAGTTGTAAGTAGGGTCATAGGTAAGGTTCTCCAGCTATGCCTACTCAGAAACGCTCGATGAAGGAACGGAAGCCGGACTTCTTACAGCTACCCGCGAACCTCAAGCGAGGTATGCGCAGCACATTGACACCTCGGTGCTTTTGGATTTCTGAGCATCTTCAGCTCTTGGGCGCGGAGCCAGGTGGACCGCGTTCGAAATTTCTAGGCCCTGCAAGCTTTTGATACCCTTTTTGGTGGACTTTGGGGCATGGAGTCGCTAATGGCTTGAAAAACAGCAGCATGCGGCAGAGGAACGCTTCATCAGGGCTTAGTTCTAATTCTAGAAGGCCTATACCTGGATGAACTTGAGCCGGCTTGCCGAAAGGAGGAAGCTGTTGTGCATTTGTTCGAGGCTGTCATGCACGAAACCAAATCCCTAAACACCTAAACCCACCAAGAATCAAGTAAGTCCCCATATGAAGCCAAACCCTGCATCCTTGCTCAGCCATGAACTACAAAGCCCCTTGCAGGAATGCTGCCTTTCCGAAGGCCGCGAAGCGACGCGGAGTCTTGGAACTCGCGAGAGCGAGGGACTGCGGGAAAAGGCTGTAGTCCATATCAGCCTGTTCATCCCGATTGTTAGCAGAGCCTTTAGCTTCCGAAGAAAACGGCGCGGGCAGGCATGTGACCGTGACGGCTGCGAGTCTTAAACCAAACAAACATCTGCATGCTTGCCCCGAGCCCCTGATCGGAAGTGGCGATTTGCTCAAGCTGCCACTAAATCGTGAGCATACCATCTTGCTCGGATCTTACCGCAAGCGATGCAGCTCTTGATCTTCATCGCTGCCGTGACCCTTGCCCATGCTGACCACTGCACCGATCCACTTGCAGCACCTGCATCGGCCTCGTCTTTGCTACAGCAGGCGCATGCAACACAAGCGCAGCAGCCTCATGGACTGTTTGGGAAGAAGGGCATGTCCAACATGGAAATGCAGAGTGCCTCTAACGCTGCAGGATTCTTCTCGATTCTCGTGTCGTCTTTGAAAGCAATTGGTGTTGCAGCTTCCGTCATCGCTGTAGGGGTGTTGGCTACCCGCCAGGGCATCATCACCCTGGCGGTGCGAAAGGCCATGGGGGAAATCACAATGAAGCTCGCAATTCCGGCACTGTTGTTCTCCCGAATCCTCTACTGCGATCAGTGCAACACAGGTGGGAATCAGTGCGCACCTTGCCAGCCTTTTGTGAGCATCATCCTAAGCAGCTGGATCCTCTTCCTCCTACCGATGGTGGTTGTAGGACTTGGCGTGCTGTTGGGCAAGACTGCAGCAGTTTTAACGTCTGCGCCCAGCGATTTCTCCCGGGGGACCGTTTGTGCCGTGGCCTTCGGCAACTCAACAGGTTTGCCGATTGTTCTTTTGTCCGTGATCTCCTTAGGCACTCCAGCCACAGGGAGCATGGGCAGCATCGACCCTCTTCTGCGCCTTCCGGTTTACTTAATGCTCTATCCCGTCCTTCAGTGGGGAGTTGGCCGTTACCTCCTGAAAGAAGACGAGGACTCGGACAAGGCCGGACAAAGCTTTGGGTTCCGGGCCATGCTTGAACAGGCCCTGGTACCTCCTGTCATTGCGGCGCTCCTTGGTTTGGTCATTGGCGTCTCACCGGTGAGGGCTTGGATGGTGGATGTCTTCGACCAGGATAACGATGCACCTCTGACCTGGCTCTATGACGGCATCTACAAGCTTGGGGATGCGGCAGTGCCTCTGAACCTCCTTGTCTTGGGCAGCGCTCTCTCTAAAGGGGCAAACTTTGAAGCTCTTCCGATCAGGGTGGGGGTTGCCATCGTGCTCTGCAAGTTGGTCTTAATGCCGCTCTGCATGAGTCTCATCGTCTATGGGCTGATCCGCATTGGGCCCAAGGATCCTTCCTTGTGGCTGGTTGCTTTGATCGTCAGCTGCACGCCGACCGCCAACAATGTCGCAGTGATGGCTGAATCCGGTGGCCAGAACAAGGATGCCATGTCTACAGCCATCTTCTTACAGTACCTAGTTGCCCCCTTATGCGTGGCAACCTCCATTGCCTATTTCAACATGCTCCTTTCCTCCCCTTGGTACTTGCCAGCGATGCAGAGCCTTTAGAGAGACTTCTGCTTTGAGTCGCGCGGCGAGCAAAGTTTGCATCCTCCCAAGATCCTTCCTGGCAGCAGATTCTGTAAGGTGGTACCTAAAAAAGGGATCATTAACAGTACGTGACTGCGTCCTGTCATTCTAAGTATCAAGGCTCCAATAGTCGGCAAGCCTTATAGAAGGCTTCAGAGGAACCCTTAAAGGCGCAGTCTTTCGTTCTGAGATAGTGCTGAGTCATGTCATGTAGGCGAAGCGACCCCCTCGTTGTTTCGAAACGCGGCGTCAGAGGGAATACTTGGTAAGAACATTCACTCACAGTTCCTGCAGTATGGTAGCAGTATAGTAGCGGTATATACTATGGCTATATTATTCACCTCCCCCTCTCCCTGCCAGAAATTGTTTTTGAACTCGCGGGGTTGGCGGAGTGGCATCCAAGCCAGAAGTCATAGAAATGCAGGAGTGGGGAGTCATCGACCTGGGTTTCAGGTTTGGGGTGAAGGGTTTAGGGCTTATAGCGGGTTAGGGTTTAGGGGTTGCCCATGACCAGCCTCAGCAGAATCCTCTAATTTTTGGGGCTTGGGGGGGAGGGGCTGCCGGCCAGAAGATCGCATGGTGTTTGCACCGTGCCCAAGGATACTGTGGAGAGCAGAGCACTCAGAGCCAGACTGGCTGTAGCGTTGACCTACTTTTGCCATGGCATTGTAGATGGGTATCAGACGTGTTCAGGGACAGGCACCCACAGTTGCAAAACATGGACCATGTGCTTCTGTGCTCTAGCAGGCGTGCCGCATCATGTGTACTGACTATGCAAGTTCACCTTGGCAAGCAGAGAACCGACTTACTGAGCAGCAGCTTCAATGACTTCCAGCAGCCTTTTGAAACGTTACAATAAGCTATTTCGGATACTCTGCATTTAGGGATGGAGGACAAAGAGGACTTTCTCCAATTCTTGGATGCTTCCCTGCAAGTGCTCCGGAAGCACCTGGCCTCTGCGTACGACGCGAAGCTCGCGAAGTTCGATGCTTCCAGCAAGCTCCTGAACCTGGAGGGCGATCTGAATCTCCTGGCTCAGAGGCAGAACCCTGCACCCCAAACTTCCTAAACCCTAACCCGTAAACCCTAAACCCTAAATCCAAACTTCCTAAACCCTAACCCCCAAACCCCTAAACCCAAACTTCCTAAACCCTAACCCTTAAGCCCTAAACCCCTAAACCCTACACCCTAAACCCAAACTTCCTAAACACTCTGAGGCCTAAAGCCCGATGGCCCTAAAGCCTCGAATCCTCAGTCCCGATAACCCGAAAGCCTGGAGCCCCGATACCCCAAGCCCTATGCCCTAAACTCTAAAGTCTAAGCCTTAAACCCTAATACCCGAAACCCCAGACCCTAAACTCCAAAAACTCTAAACCCTAAACCCTAAAACCCGAAATCCCAAGCCCTAAACTCCAAAAGCCCTAAAGCCTAAAAGCCAAAAAGCCGAAACCCCAAGCCCCTAAAACTCTAAAAGCCCTAAAACCCGAAAGCCCTCCCGCCACGGCTCAGAGCCCTAAACCCTAAGCCCTAAGCCCAAAACCCTAAACCCAAACTTCCTAAACCC